AGTAGATGCTTCAAGGGGGCGCGGACCATACTTGAGCTCACAAGTTGAAGAGTTGAGCTCACGAGTTGAGCTCAATTTTCAATTGTAATTTAGTATAAACATTATAAACTTTAAAATTTTAAGGTTATGGTGAACTTAATAATTTCATAATTCTCTATATATTATATAGATAAAAATGTTCTAAAGGACACTTCTTGTTCAAATATTTTAAATATTTACTACATGCAATGATAGGGACGTTTGTTAGAACATAAAATAAAATGTTTTCAAAAAGAGTATTCTTGTCACTTCTTTAAATTTGTACTCTGTGCTTTCTGGCTAGTAAATGTCAGGTTTGTCAAACTTAAAAAATTATTAGCAACCTGGATTGAGTAAGGTGTTTGTGATAAAATCCTTGAGGACAGTCTTCTGAATATGCTTCGGAGTTGCAGATGAATTTCTCATAGTCTCTTGTTGCACAACATCTTTGAAACAGTTGAGAGAACTCCTTTGTATCCCTTCCTGCATTGGATGCATGTGTGTGCCAACATGTACTGTAGCTCTTTCAGCCATTCCATCCCGTGGAAGAAAGTAGTACATCTTGGCCTCGCAGATAGCATGACATAGAGGAGCATTTTTGCAGAATCGACACTTGAATCCAACAGCAATGGTGTCACAGGCTAGAGGATTGACTGCAGACCCTTCGAAAAATATAGAGTTTCTACAGCAGTCTCGATTGCATGCTTCATCCACACAATCTAAATGCCCGCCATAATGAACTATAGACATTGTGCCTTCAAAATGTTGGAAGTGTGTGGTCTTGATCTTGCACCAATTGTGGACATCCTACTTGGTTTCCATCCCCTTCTGTTTGGAACCTGTGCTGCTGACAAGAGGTGGTAGCTCAAAGAAAATGTTGCCATTGTAGGAGGATGGAAGCTCACTAACAAGCCTATACAAAAACAAGTGCACATTGATTGAGAGGTGTGAAAACTAGAAAGCATTGCTAATGGCTTTGAATATTGCTGAAGTTGGAGCTAGAGCTAGAGCTGGAGCTGGAGCTGGTGAATTCGGCGCCGACACTAGCATGACTTTTCCACTTGAACTAGAAGAGGACGAGAGGATAACTACTGACTCTTGCTTCACATTCACTTTGGCTGGAGCGCATTTTGGCATTTTGACTAGAGATCCAAACACTCGAATCTCCTTCAACTTGGAATTCTGTAAATCCCATTGTTGTCCACCCTTGCCCACACCAGAAAGAAGAAACTCCGAGTATGCAACTAAACCAGTGTCATTGCGAATCACAGCCTCTAAAGAAATAGAGCCAAGACGAAGATCAAAACGCCGACATAAAAAACTTTCAAAAACAATACTCTGAGAGAATGAAAGAGGTGGGTGATCTTGAAAATGAAGAAGAAACCTTTCCATCCTTCTCAATAGGTTTTGGAGTTCTCTCTCTTTATGCTACTTGTAAAAATCCATAGTGAAACATAATTGAAATTTAAATAGAGTAATAAGAAGACAACGTACAAAATGAATTTAAATTCTATAGCAAATTTAACATGTTCAAGTGTGACAGTATTAATATTACTGTCATCTATTATGATGTTTGATGCATGTATACACATAGATCCAAGGAAGGATTTTCAGCACGTGAAGTTTGATAGTTAATAATGATATCAATAATGACATTCTGCTATAGCGTGTCAAGAAAAGAGATCCAATTTGACTGTCAATATGTGTGATATGTCAAGTTGTCAAATTTTAAATGGTAGATGATAATAAATCTTGTCAAATCTTATTCTTCACTGACAGATTTGATTTGTAGTACACCTCAAGTTTTATCCATAATTATGAACACTGCTCAATGACATTTAAAGCATGTGCCTATTGTTTAGGAACTAATACAACACAAAATAAATTTCTGGATGAGGATTCATCCATTCATAGATGGATATAGTACAACATATTTTAACGTGCCTTATTTATACTCTTTAAAGTTCTTGTAACAATTCCAAAATATGTACAAAATATTGATGAGAATGCATCCTTTCTAGATAATTTGTAAAATATAATATCATATCTCTAATAACAAAAATGTTGATAGGTGCTAGTTATATCATCATTAAAATATACAAAATAAAGAAGCATAATTTACATATAATAATAATGATAAGATAAAATAAGATCAAAGATATTGTGATGGTTGAGATTTAGGTTATTTGGAATGAATGGAGTTGGTTAGGGTTAGGGCAGCCATCAGGATTAGGGTTAGGGTAGCCACCAAGATTAGGTTACTATTCGCACTGTGAGTGGAGCGCGCAAGTGATCGAGAGATTGAGCACAAAGGAGATCGAGGGATTGAGCACGAAGGAGATCGAGGGATTGAGCGCAAAGGAGATCGAGCGATTGAGCACGCAAGAGATGGAGAGATTGAGCGCGCGAGCTGAGAGATTGAGCGCGCGAGCGGGAGAGATTGAGCACGCGAGTAGGAGAGATTGAGCGCCCGAGCAGGAGAGATTGAGCACCCGAGCGGGAGAGATTCAGTGTGCAAGCGGGAGAGATTGAGCGCACAAGAAATCCAACACAATCAAGAAATCGGGAAGGAAAGATGCCACCAAGGGTGAGTTTCAATTTGATTGCTTCCACTTCCATTTTTTTCCTCTTGCTTCTTTCTTGATTGCTTCTTTAGGGCCGACCTCGGGCAGTTTTACGGGCCGAGGGGCCGAGGTTATTTGAATAACCTCGGCCCCTCGGCCCTCAAAACTGCCCGAGGTGGCTAGCCCATGCTAGACCTCAAGCAGTTTTGCTTGCCGAGGGGCCAAGGTTATTTGAATAACCTCGGCCCCTCGGGTGGCCAAACTGCCCAAGGTCGAGCTCAGGCCGGCCACCTCGGGCACTTTGGCTGCCTAGGGGGCCAAGGTTATTCAAATAACCTCGATCCCCTGGGCAACCAAAGTGCCCGAGGTGAAGTCTAGGCCCACTTGATTTTTTTTCTCTTTAACTGTTTGAATTTCTTATTATCTTTATTTAGTTTGACTAAAAAAAATTTTTCTCTTGCAGAAAAGGAAAATTGTAACACAGAAAAAGGTTGTTGGAGCCAAGAAGACACGAGAAGTTCAATTCGGCACTGATGACGACATCACGATCGACATGTCCATTGGTACAACAGAGACATATTTACTTAAAGATTCACCACCTCCACCACCATCACCTCCACCATCACCTCCTCCACCACTGCCATCGCCACCTCCACCACC